CACACACTTTTTGATCGTTAACACCTCACTTCGCACAAAGTCTGCCACCTTTAAGTATATTTTGTAGCGCTAACCTCAACTTACAGTCTTTGTTAGATTCAAAATATCTTTAATTACCGATTACTCTTCATTGCCGTAAGATCACGGCAGAAACATCTAGTTTACAGTGCCATCGTGAAACAGGTCGTTTAAAAAGATTCCACAAGATTTGGAAGTTATGCAGTGCTTTTACACATATCGATGTCGCTACACAACTTTTTACAAGCTTTTATACTAATTTAAATCGTGCATTCACATTTTTAAGGAACTTAAGAAAAATTGCTTTTACAGAATACCTTGTAACTAGCATATAAAAAAGTCACAGGAAAATGCGATTCTCATGTTTGAAGTCAGTGACTCACTTCACACCAACGTGAAAGATTCTAGATTGTTTGGTTTCCTAGATAAAGCATAACATGCAACTCACTGGCTCAATACCCTGTTCAAAAGTTTTACGCAATGAAGAGAGATCGATGCAGTTAAAAAAAGAAAAACAGAACCAAAACAAAGAATTGACGCCACCTGGGTAGAATTGGTGATATTTATTCTTTCTGTAGCTCAAACGTGGCAGTGATGTTTGCCAGTACACTTTGTGCATCGAACATAGCTGCCCCTTAATTTAGTCTCGCCCTTATCAAAGCAGGAAAGCGTGGCGGGGCACGCCGTTGACAGCGTCGCAACGGCAATATCCGGTCATGTTCTGCTTGAAGGACGAGAATCGACGTGCGGCTATGTTTAAATTTTTTAAGCGAATTTTTCGCCTTAGAATCAATTCGGCATTGATTGTGGCTTGTATGGAGAGCCCGCTTTAGTAATTTTTGAAATTGAGACGTTCCCAAATCTGTTCGGACATTGCCTTCAAGCATTTTGAGAGTTTGATTGAATGGTAGTATAAGCAGTTTTGATTATTTTTGAGCTAAGCGTAAATCAGTCGAAGGAAGTTTCTAAATGCAATGGAAACATAATTTTCGCAAATCAATTTTCATAAATTATGGTACGGTCTACTAAGCTGCAAGGGAGGTTACATGAAGTTTATCGCGGAATCGCGAAGACACAGCTGCAAAAGTTGACACGTGTGCTCTTGGAAGGGCTGGCTTTGTTAACTTCACTTCGACCAAGACAGCGACCGCGAATTGCCTCGCCAGAGAATCGTTGCTTCCCGTTATCGCCCACCAACCTCATTATCAAATATTTTCGTCTCATATATTTTGTATTGTGTGGTTCAGCGCGAGAAATAGTAAAGAAAACGTGGTGAACATTTGGAAGTGGTCAGAACTAACACAACACAAAGTTCCCAAGCCACCCCCATCGTACACTTTTTATGAGGGCATAAAAGCTGCCAAGTTCGTCTTTACTATTTGCAAACGCCTCGGAGAGAGGGGTTTTCTGAACTAGAGTTCGTACGCACGGTTAGTAAAGTCATTGAGAGCGGGACGCTGCAAGCTCGGATAGATTTGAGCAGGACGCGCCATTGCTAAAACGCGTTAGAATCGAACTCAATGTTAGTTGACTATACACTATCCGTCTGAACAAGTTGAGATAAAACATCACTTACCCTTTGATTTAACTGGCTTGGCGGTTGAAAGGCGAGTCGTGACCAGAGTTGAGCAAGAAGTCAGGCGCAAGTCTTTCGAAAACGACTCCCCCCCTCCATGAAAGCCCTCAAACGACCCCTTCATCCTCTTCCTGACCTCCGAACCTCAGAGTGTGACATTCTTGAGGATATCATCCTTTTCTAGAGAGTTTTTCAGATTTTTGACAACTGTACGCCCGACTTTCTGTGACTGCACCTTATCACACGTAATTTGACGCCTGAATTGATGTGAATGGGCCTATTGGAAGAGCCATAGTTTTTCTAGGGGTGGAGCGTTCGGCTCTAAATTTCCACTGTGGCAAGAAGAAGCTATGAGCTTAGTACTCATAGCAGGGTGGAGCGATTTCTGGATTTTGAAGGCAAGTTAATCGGGTCAGGCGCAACCCCTCAAAAGCTCAGGCCGCCTGACCTTTTGAGGGGTTGCGCCTGACCCAATTAACTTTATCACCGAAAAAATTTTCCACCTCATTTTTATATGATTCGTTAGCATAAACCTCGAAGATTCTACAGCAGATGTTTGAGCTTACCTCGACTTGTTCTGGCTTTGTGGTGATCGGTGGAGTTGAGGCACTCGAGGTGAAAAAGGCGTTGACTAACATTTTGACAACACTTCTTAATCCATTATTTGAAAACGATAAGAAGTCCAGTTTTTACCATAGACTGATAAAGAGTAATACTTTGTTATAAATACAAAAAAGCCGATTTTTTTTACTTTCATAACCAAGTTAATCATGTTTGATAATCACGCTTTTTAGAAGTTAGGAAACACTGGAAAATGTGAAGGTAATGGTTTGTAGAGCTCGTTGTTAAGGTAATTTGACATGCTAATTACGGAAATCATATCCAGTTTACATAAAAAGCTTCTTTGGTGACCTTATGGTCTGTGTGAGGTCGAAGAATTGCAATTTGGTTGAGAGATTGTTAGTCGAGTTAACCAGCATGCTATTCACGACAGTCATTCCTCTGGAGGAATTGTGAAATTCACTTGTGAGCGCTTTTTTTCTTCACCTTACGATCGAAGTAGTTTCTCACTTTTTGAACAAATTCGTTTCTTAATTACGACCCCCCTTGCTCCTACCCCCCTATATGACGCCCGGGTCGGGCGCGCCTGACCCCACGCTCAACCCTGGTCGTGACCTGCTAAAGGCTAAATATAGTCGGAGAGCACGCGGGCGATAGAAACGCAGGCTGCGTCGCGGGCGCGAGCGGCTTCAATTAAGAAACAGAGCCCGCCTTCCAGCCGCCAAGAAAGTTGAATCAAAGGTTAATGCTCTAACATGTTAACGAAATCAATCAATGCTTCGTTTATCACGCATTCGCACTGATATGACACCAAATGGTTGCCCACGCGTTTGAAGAACGTGGCACCATGCTTGAGAAGTCTAGGAATGGAGTCAGACCCCTTTCTCACTACTTTGATACATCTCCCAATAGTTTCTCGGTGGTGCGATCTGGGTGTAAACGGACATCTGCAACAAGTGTGCACTTTTCTCCATCACAGAGTGTTAGGCCCTGACCATACCTCACGCGATTTCAGTCGCGACGCGATTTGGCAATACTCCAGTTTTTCATTCTCCTGCAGATGTAATTGTGATTGAAACTTCCTTCATAGATATTAATCCGTCAAGGTATCAGAATCTGGAATAGCACAATGTCAAGGACGTGAAATTCTACTCAAAGTTCACGCTCTAGATTTAAGCTGCCTTTGTAATGAAGTGCTATTTCAATAAAAGACAAGACAATTTCATTAGCAACTAATAAAGCACGTAATGCAGTGATAGAACATGCGGTGAATAATCTACAACCAGCATTCTTTCTGAGAATTTCAAACAAGTAATGAATAACAGGAAATACGTTAAGAATTGGTCTACGAATTAATCACACCATCAAAGTCATGCAGCACTGTCTGTTTGTTATAATAATGCTACGCAAAGTTCAGTTCACCGAATTTCTTACTGTGATGAACAAGTGCTATCATGAGCCACGTTCCTCTGAATCTTAAAAAGGCAGCAGTGATCGTGTTTGTCTAGTCGAATTTTACAGTTGATGTCTACTGCCCCTCACTTGTTTGTATATTTTCGCCATTAGCGTGCTATGTGCACAACTTTTGCTTTTCCAATATGTCTGCGATATAGCGAGATTTTTACAAGTACGTAGATAAGGTGGACGCATAACAAGCCTTAACAAAAATATTTAGACGATTTATATACTACTGTACAAAGCTCGATAAGTGATGAATTCGCGTCTACATAATAATTGATATAGCCAATTTGCTCATGTGGTAAAGATTCATAATGTAATACAAGTGTGGCAATCGAATCTCAAAATTCATCTCCTTGACACGTCAAAATTTTACAATCCTCCACTGCACAAGCCAAATCCTCTGTTGGAATCTACGCTCATCACCCTTTTCAAACTACTGTTTTTCGATGTAATTTGGGTTTTGCAAGAAAGGATAAGATTTTTTGGAACCAGAGCCAGTGTATAGTAAACAAGGTAGAGGAACGAATGCCTCCATTAGTGTCGCCTCCACGGACTCTGTCTCAAATGCAGTGTGCACTTACTTAGAAACTTAGATACTTGCGATTAGATGGCGTCTTTACGTGGTGCGCGGCCTCAGCACAAAAGTTTTCAATAATCCTTCTTCCCCTTGTTTTAGATATGCATATTGGTCGTCGTCAATGGCTGCCGCCACAACTCCAGGTGCCAGAAAAGCATCCAGCTAATTTGTCAGCTAGCCCGTCCGTCCAACACGTCTGCCCCTTTCGGTGGTGATCTTCTCCAAGACGTTTTTGCTTTTACGAAGAACCCACTCGGATGTCCTTAGTGTCCATTTGTCGTATGTTCTGGGTGTATGTCAAGAGGCGCGATTTTTGTTGCCAGCTGGGCGCCAAATAGCACATAATAAGTGTTCTGCAACTTTCTAAAAGTATATGAAATCCAGAAGAAAATATATTAGATAGTTGCATGAGCTGTTCAGTCTCAATACCCTAGGGAGAATTCAAAACAGCAATCTTGAAAGTCAAAAACTCATGAAAATGCATTTCAGAACACATTCGTAAATATTTCAATCCGATTTATAGCAAAAACCATGAAACTCAGCAAATGATGACCTCAGACAGATAGCAAGCTAATGCAGTTTATCCGGTAATTTTTAAAGACTCGCACAGCACTAAACTGGAATTTTAAGTTGGTGACAGCCGGAGAAGTCGCGCCTCTTGACCGTCTCCCGTATGTTCTTCTCATGGTGTGACCGACCCATTGATGCTTCGCTTTCGCGACGTATTCTGCTTAGTCGCGAAGAGGGACATTTTTCTCATAGTACTGCGAAATCCGACAAGATATTGCTACTGGGTCACCTTCAGAAGAGCTGCGCTCAAGCTCCCTATGAACTGTCCATAGAGCTTTCGACTGGCTTTTCTGGCGAGTTTTCGGAGTGCCAAGTCTTGATTGCGTAACAGGATGTCGAGGGAAGTTGAGTCGTACAGGTGGGCTCGAAGGGGGTTCATTAGCATTTGCGAAGGACATGTTCCTGGGAGGTGGCGTATTTGCGGTACTCGCTTCTCTACTTAGGAACAGAGTTGATTAGATAATAGAATTTGTAAGAGTGACACATGTAATCTCAGTCTAAACCTACTGTTAGTCGATGGAGTAGTTGAAGTGTGGAGCCAGCTAAACCTTGTTATTTAAAGGCATAACTTAAGTTTTCGTGCTATCAATATTTTGGAAGATTCATAACCCACTAAATCTGAAAGTTTTGCTAAATTGTGCAAATTCAGTAAACGCTCTTTAGTTGCTGGCTTCCCCTCGAATTTGTATGCTGCGTGATTGTTTTCAGAAGTGCTGTTGGCAGTAGCAACGTTTTATTTCGAGGGCTTTTTTATACTAGATTTCCAGTATGAAGCTGCTACTTGTGATATTCCTATTCATGTTCCTATGTCAAAGGAATTGCGAGTCAGGGATAGTTGATAAGTTTGCAGGTAAGAGCCAAAATTATAACTTTCTTGCCAACTATCAAAAAGTTCCTCAACCAATGGATAGATAACCTCAAATTAATCTCATATGTAGAGTGTTAATCTTTGTCTGTAATAATTCTCTTGTATGAAAAGCTTGCTTCCTTTTCAAGACTATGTTGTAGAAGTGGCTTCAATTTTCACAAATTGGAACGAAGCACCGATTCTCCTTCATTACTGTAAGATCACGGAGAAGAGGGTACTGAGCCACCCAGAGCCACATGTTGCCTCAGAAAGCGAACCACTCAAGCTTGAATCATACACTAGGCTAATCAGAGCCGCTGATACAAATATACAGTCTCCGCTTCAGCAATGCTTCCTTCAAAAAATCTGCGATTGGCTAAAAGTTTAATGCACGCGTCTATCGTTGCGGTCGCCACTGTGCGCGGCTGTCGCCTTAGACGAAGTGTGGCATACAAAGGGCCTCACCCCGAAAAGGGGGTGCGGGGGGGGGAGGGGGAGACATTTTCCAGCAAATTAACTCAATTGTATCCAGCGCATCTCTGACACGTTTAAAACGAAAGAAAAATGCAAAAAGGAAACAGTAATGTATCAGCGCTGTTTGGAACTGAATTTTTGTTTATAACCACTTCTTCGACAAAACAAGTATGAACAGGTTTCACAGACTTCTCTAACTTCTTGCATTTTCAGAATACAACGAGATCAATGCACCAGCTGATGATTCAGTTTTGGATGACAAAGGAACAGAAAATAAGGTCTGACATTTGTCCGAATTCGGCAATCTCATCTTCTTATGCTCACGATAGTTATGAATGTCATACATTCTCTAGTTATGAGTAATCCAAACTCTGCAAACTCGGGAACATTTTTGCTGGGAACCAGGGTTTTTGCTGCAGGTAGCACTTGCCCGAGCCCCAAATTCGAAGAACTACAGCAACTACAGCAACACTAGCAACTTTCTGACAATCTTTGACTTTCTGACATTTTGTAGTCAATCTACAAAATGCTATTGTCAAAAAAATGGTAGGGTGAAAGAAGAAATTGAAATAGCGACTTTTGTTCGGTTTTGGAATGGTGCGCAGAATTTTTGAATGAATGCTTGAATTGGGGATCTTGTATGAGGCTTTGAAATAACTGAATTAAACATAGGATATTTATGGAATTTTTCAAAGACTTTGCGCAAAACTGATATCTTTCCGACATTTCTTCACTTCTTCTTAATATTCTTCACCGAGCTTTGTCAGGAAAGTCTACAGCTACAAAATGGTGAGTGTGTGCTACAAATACACAAAGAAATTCGGCAATGATTATCATTGTTGGAAATACTTTCACTGGCTTTTTTAATTCTAGTGGTTAGAAAATTTCAGGTGCTTGAAGACGCACTGCGGAGCTTCAACCTCAGTGCACAGTCCAAATTGGCGGCCACAGGCAACAAGAGCAATGTAATCCTCTTTCTGTTCCGATTAGTGTGGTAATTCTTAACTGCATTTCAGTCACATCCTATTACATCGGAACTTTATTGCGATGTTGAGTGCCAGAAATCGCGTAGATCTGACGATGATCTAAGAAGAACTAGGAGAGGGGCGCCAAGCCAGATCACAACAAATCATTGCAAGCTAAGTGAGAGCTAAGATGACGATAAACTCAACAAAAAAAGCAACTATCTTTCAGCTCTTTTCCATGAAAACTGTGACCCCGCAGGGGAAGAAATCTCACCAGGAACCTGGAGCATGTGTACAAGTAATTTCTTTCCTTTCGTCACAGCTTCTTTCCTACAGACAAACCATAGCTTCTAGCATGCCACAGACTCTACACGGTCAGTGATAATTGTTACCCAAGATACCTTCATACAAAGGTTTGTGATGGGAATAACGGCGGTTGTGCTTTCGAAAATGGTAAACGTAAGTCATTTCCCGCAGATCATAGTACAGCGCTATAGCCTGACCTTTCAGCACAAGGCACATGCGTGTCTACTAATATCCCAGTAACATTATTGCGAACTGTAGGAGACGACAACAAACTTGTGCCTGAGAACCTTCAGGTATGTTGCATCAACGCGTACACATTCAAGTTGATGGTTTCTCACTCTTTGAATAATTGTGAGAACACAAATTTCCTTTGCTCTCCACTTCGCTCACATACATTTAGGTGCCAAGCGGTTGCCAATGTGCGCTCAAAAAGCACTCGTTTTTAAGCGCAATACCCGTTGCCTGATGGAACCACTGCGGTACAGCTCATCAATCCAGCATTGAACTTTATCCAATAAACAATAACACTTATTTGTAATCTTTTTGTGCTTCATAAATTTTGAAGACAAGACTTTAAAACATCAGTTGATGTGCAGCTAATACTAGGCCCGATGAGTCCACCCACAGCAGGCGAAAACATGAGTAAGTAGGCAAGAAAAAAACTTTGGTTTTTGTTAATATTGCTATATTAATAATGACCTTCTCTTTTCTGCTTAAGAAAATAACCTTTCAATAAACGCCAACTAGTGTTTTACACAATAAATGACTTTGACCGTTTTTCTGGAAGCGGTACTTCCTTGGCAGGTATTCTTAAACTTCAATGCTCTAAACTGGCTTGTGTTTTGTGAAAATCTCACGAAGTATTAGGTTGAACCGAATGTTCGTTCATACCATTTTCAAAAAACACTTCCCCTATGGTAACCTTGCAAAAGAAGAATGATATAAGGACGAGCAAAGCGCAAACTCTTTTAGAACACTTCGCTTGTTCTCTACTATGTTTTGGTTGCAGAATTAAAACAAAAAGAGAATCACTTCAGTTTCGGAATCTTGAGGCAAGCCCGTTAAAAATTCTAAGTTCTGTGCCAAATCCAGAACGGGCTGTACCCTAGATTACTGGACCCCCTCTTTCTAGCGAAGCAAAGTTCGCGCTGATTAAGGTGTTATTTGAAAAGTTATGATTTTTGAGAAGAAATTTCATAAAATCAATTCCCTTAAAAATGATTTCTTGGCATTTTTTTTATCGAAATCGTAATTTTTAAAGAAGATCTCGGTTGGCGTACATTTGGTTCAGCTAGAAAAAGGGGATCAAAAAACCTAGGTTACTGCCTGTTTTGAGATTTATGGTACAGATTTGAATTTTTGACGGGCATGCCTCAAAATTCCAAAATTGAAACGATCTTATTTTCTCAGTTTTATCTCAGCAATCAAAGCTTAGTAAAGAGCAAGCAAGGGACTATAAAGTGCAGGCTTTGTTATTCCTGATATTATTTTTCTCGGGCAAGATTATCATAGGAGGAAAAAGTTGCGATTTTTGAAAATGGTGCGAACAAACTTTCGGTTCTTAGTATGTTCTATAGTGAGAGTAGTATCAAAAAAATTTTTTTTGGTGGCATATGAGAACTGCTGAGCAGTTGGAAATTGCTGATCAGGGTTGTCGTTCTGGAAAGATGCTTTGGCATCGACATGATCATAAGCCATCAATCAAAACATCAACATATAAAACTCAAATATAAAACATAAGCACGAACTATCAATGAGCAGCTAGTCCGTGGTTGTACTTCTCACTAAATTTATGGCCGTATGAATAAGGTTCAACTGCTGTAATGAGGAGCAGTTGAATTATGTGTAATAACTGGGCAAGTTGCGGTCTTCAACAGCTGCACTGAAAAAAAAACAGTTTATGTTAAGCGGATTGGCACGTTTTCGGAGGTGTTTTTTCTTCTGTTCGATTACTACTGCAGCTACGATTGTGAGCTTCTCCTGGTCTTTCTAAAGAAAGGGTTTGTAATAAAGCAAGCGGACAACTTTGTATAATTCATATATAAAAATCTCTATAACAATTATTCACACGTAATGGGCAATTTTTGTGAAGAACGTCGGTTGGAGCCAAATTCCGATCATAGTTCCAGACCATTAGTATATGGAAAATTTGCAAAAAATACTTTTCATGTGCCCGGATTCATCTATTCCATTGAAAGTTAACAAAGCGCTTGAAGTGATTCTATTGGATCGATATATAATCTTGCACGAAGAAGTGAAAATAGTTCTAAAACTGTTCGAAAAAACTTGAGCACTACTGTATACAATTCGTTAATAAATGCAGCATTTCATAAGTACCTAATATAACGATTAACATCAGGAGACCAAAAAAAATTCTGAAACGAAGACTACGGAAAAAAATCAAAAGTAAATTCGAATCTAATAATGCATTTTCCAATGACCGAATTCTGAAGCGTACAAATTCAGTATCTTGTGTACCAACCTTATCGCTACCACGCGCGGACATTTTAACATATCAGTTAGTAAAGTTCCCTTGAAAATAAAAACATTACGAGTTTCAAAAAATGTTGGTGCAGGACATACATATGTAACAACCAGTGGCGTACCCGGGATTTCGGCTCGGCGGAGGGGCGACAAAAATTTTTTACTGATGAAGGTGCGTAGCGTTAGCCACGCACTCCGAAAAATTTTTTGGGGTGTTTCCCAAAATTTTCCCGAGGCCCTGACCCCAAAATATCAGAAAAAGGGAAAAAAACTTTTTTACAAGGCTAATTTGAGTTTTTAAATATTGTTAAAAATTATTTCAATTATTTACAAGCAAAAACAAGTCCTCTGCACATTTTATAATACATTTAAGTAACTTTCAAAAAATTCGCTAAACTAAATGTGTTAAATGCTAAAACTTAGTAACGTTTTTTTTATGACCACGCACAACTGCTTGTGCGTTATTGCCTCAATATTGACAAACCAAAACCAAACAATCATCACATAAGAATTGGTATACCTGTCAATGCTCGCTTGGAATACCTGGGCCGGTAGTAATCTGGCCGAAACTTCGAGTTTAATACTGCACATTAACTCGGAGTTAACTATGAGTTTCCTTTTAAAACTCATAGTTAACTCCGAGTACCGCCTTGCTACCGCTGCACATGTTGGAGATTCCATAAGCATAATCGCAAAACTCTCTGACGAAACCGGCAATTGAACTCCAGTTGCTCGGCGCATGGAGCTAATCACTAGACCACTAGGCCAAGGAGCCACTTTTGTAATGTTGTCGCTATGAGTTGATGAATTTCTGTAGCCAAGATCTCACACATCAAGACACGTCGAGAAGCGTTAGAATTGCTTGTGACCTGGCCCATAAAGTACCCTACATGTTCTTAAAGTAGTAGTAGGATGAATGAACGTATATCGTAGTCCAACAACCCATGTCCGTTCCCTCGCCCTCTATTTTGATATGCTGTACTTGACGAAAATCAGAAGTCTTTACTAATATTCAATCCGAATGACCTGTAAAATTTATAATTTCATCCAGAAATTTAGAAAACCGACTTCCATATAATAATCAAATCTAGCGATCGTTCAAAAATCGAATGTTGTTGGGATCTCAAGTGATCTCTAAATAATATAGCAATTTTTTAGAATTTTTTTTGAGATTACTCGTGTTTAGAGGACAATAATTCGGAAGTAAAAATCAAAAGGTACTACCTAACATCATGCGTCTTGTTTAAATAAGTCCAATTTTATTTAAGACTAGTTGGCAAACCCGGGCCTGTCAGTAATATATTTGTAATCAGCATGCTCGATTACCCCCCGCCAACTCCCAGCCCTGTAGCTCAAATTTTGCAAAAAATCGATAAAATCGATATTCGATAACGAAAAGTAGCCTATGACACGCTCCCTGCCCCGAAGTATATGTGTGCCAAGTTTGGTCCAAATCGGTTCAGAAGTAAAAATTTCTATTCCGCACATACGAACAGACAGACAGACAGACAGACAGACAGACATACATACATACAGACATTCAGCTTTATATATAAGATTTTCGCTTTTATCCCCAATAAGCCCACCGTAGCTTACATGATCCTCATAGAAAGATAACCGCATCATAACTGCACTGCAAAATGACTAGATTATAGACTGTGCGGCAGACTACTCCAATACTGTGTTTGGTAGCTTTCATGTTCCTACCGTAACCCCGCTCTATGTGCCCTTGGTGAAAAATAGATATCCTATTCGCAGTCAGCGCACCGAATAACCTCGCCAGACCACGTTCCAATCGTTATTCCTGGTACTTTCTTGTCCACAGTAAGCTTACCGTAAATCCGCTCTGGGGCCCTGTAGCGTATTATATTCGTGATCAGCGTGCCAAAAAATCCACTGCACCAAGTCTTAATCAACTCGGTGATTTTCGCTCAACTACCATATCCTTACCGTAACCTCGCTGAATAGACCCGCACTTCAAGATGAACACCAAGATTGTGATCAGCGCGCAAAAAGACCTCACTGTACGAAGTTTCGACAACATTCGTCTTTTTTGTCCAATTACCGTATCCTCGCCGTAACCTTCGCTATGTGGGCGAATGGCAAAAACATCGTGTTTGCGATCAGCACGTCTAACCCTCGGGGGCCAAAATTTTACAAATTTTCAAATTTTTGTGTTCTACAGTGTACCATGATACCCCATCATGCTCGCTGATACTCTAAGCAAAACGTACCCAGGATGACTTCTAGCTGCATCTTCATCGGCACACTATTTCTCTTTCTCTAACTAAACTCAGAGTTAACTCCGAGTTTCGCGGGAGCCGTGGCGTCTCGCGTCGATCGAGTTACGCTGTGTTTCCACACTTGTGATAAACTACGTCTTGAGGGTTATCCTGCCATATCACCCTTTCCCCAAATTGGCTTCTTTATGCAGGTTTTGATGGTCCCTGAAAGGTGCGCGTTAATTCAAAATCAAGTCTGAGACAACTCTGAGTTTGAGCTGCGCATTTTGACAAGTTTACTACCGGCCCTGGTAAGATCTTTTGAAACGAAAAATTGTGCTTTTTGATTACCAGTTTATCTCCTGCCCGTTTTCAAAACGTTTTCTTGATAAGCAAGGAACGGGGCCCAGCACGAGGGTGGCAAAGGACGTAAGCAGGGGCAAGTGTGGGGTCTCGCACCGCCACACCGGGGGGGGGGGGAGTCGTAAAGGTCAGGAAGAGGGGAGGGGGTCGTTATCGAGGTGATAGTGATATTAGCGACATGATGTCAACCAAGAACGTCTGACAGGCCCATTGTGCAAGGTACCACTGATGTTATGGTCTACCGTCGCACATGCGCAGTAAGCATATCAAAAGAATCCTAGGAGCATAAGACCATCATTTTCGTACTTAGCGTGTCAAATACCATGCGAGCCAAGTTTCAGCGAATTTTGATGTCTCAGATATTGGGACCCTCAAATGAAGTGGTCATTTTCGAACATGCTAACCCTGTTTATACGTAAGTGAAATGCTTCTTTTTGCACTCATTACAAAGTACTACTACTTCTTTTCCCACATTGAGAAT